AGAATTTGACACGGATTTGATGTATCTGTGCCAAGTCAGTGCCAATATCGTTGTTTTTTTAGTGATTTGAAAGTATAACCGTTTAAGAAGAATGCATGTAATGTCAATGAGAGTTAATAACGGACATGCATGCCTTTGTATAAAACATAATTACATATTTTAGTTTGAGCATATATGGAGTATAATATAATTACACTATCATTTTTTCCTAAATCACTTTAAAAAATCATTTTTTAAAAGTAGAAGCAATCACAAAAACTCCACAAGTCTCCTTGGTTACCTCTTAATATGGAACCAAATACATTTTTTTTTTATTTTTTTTGTTAATTTTCTCCTCCAAATAAAGAACATCTTTTTTCCTTGGAAAAGTCAGCCTCAAAAGAACAAAAAGGAATTTGTACTGTTAATTCCCGCTTGCATGCCACTAGAGACAATTCGAGACATATCATTCGTTTTCTTCTTATAAATAGTTCTTCCTAGTTCAATATTGAATGCGTATCTATTATTTGATCACTAAATCCAAACTGAAAATAAAATGGTTTGGGAATGGTTCTCTGAATGGTCAACGTACTACGGTTTGATGGACCGTTAAAATTAAAATTGTGATATCTAATTGTGACTTTGGTTTGAAATTCTTAAACGTAATCAGAGTAAAATATGATTTTCGAGAAAAGTTTTCAATTTTCATACAAATTTCGAGCTTGCATAATAAAGTAAATACAATATACTAGCTTAGTACTTCCTTCATCTCACAAAGAACTTCTTCGAGTTACGATTTACGATGTTTGATCGATGATAAAGTTAATTGATTCGCGTCAACACTCTGATTGTTTTTAGTAAATAAAATTTACATATTCAGAAATTAATCTACATTAAAAATTATACAAAGTTGCAAAAATAAGGGTTTTTTACTAAAATAAAACTTAGGTACCCAAATATCACTATTAGTTACTTTTATATTTTTTTGCCGAGTTCTAGTATGGGGTAAGGAAAAGCAGAAAGTAAAGACACAAGAATCTAATGAGGAAAAATCCATTAGCTCAAAATGGATAAAAAACCTCGACCTTTTCGAAGGAATTTGAAAAACACTTCATTAAAAGCCTTTAAAACGAGTTAGAAGATAAGCTCCCCTGGTTATCCTTGATTAACTCCCTTTAAAACGAGAGGATGTGTGGCGGCAGGGGCGGAGCTAGACATGAATATAAGGGGGCCAAAATATAATATGTGTATTAAAATATGAAATATATATAAATAATACTACTTTATTCCCAAAAAACTTTGCCATTTCAAACAATTTGAAACTTGATTTTGATAGTGGATGTTGTACAAATGGCACATGGATTAAGATAGTAGATATTGTTGGTGGAGAATTATGCAGAGGATAGAGAAATGTGCAACAAATGTTGTGAATCACAAAATCTTTTAAAAGGGAAAACGGAAACTAATAATCCAACCTTTTAGAGGTCTTCTTACAATAGTCTCACCTTTTCATTATTCATTATGTGATCATAAGGTGAGAATTATGGTATAATGTTTTACAAAGATAAGAAAATAACTTGGAATAAGATGTCATAAATCGGTCAGAGACCAGTGAATGAAGATGAGGTGCAAATGTTGGATTATTCATGAATAATGAAAAGGTGAGACTATTGTAAGAAAACCGCTAAAAGGTTGGATTATTAGTTTCCATTTTCCCTTTAAAAAATGAAAGTAGAAATTTAATTGGGACGAATATAAAAGGAAATTTGGAAGATAAGTTTGGAACGTTTGGAGTATTACTTACTTAATACTCCCTATTATATAAGGCTTTTGTTTTAATTGTGGTTTCTCTAATCGGTTGGGCTAAAATTAGCCTGAACTTTTTTCCTTTAACCGTTGCATAATAGTATTGGAAAGGGCCAAAAAATACAAGAGAGAATTCCCAATATGGGAGTTAAACATAAAAAATATGCAAAAATAGGAGTCCTATGAGTTACTTATGTTTCATAAGGAAGTTTTAATAGAAACTGACCAAAATACCCTTAATGATGGATTTGTTTAATCTATTTATCAACTCACACACACATACAAAACAAATTACACACGTGTAGCCTATTCTCAACATATCACCGCACCAGATGTGGTGTTGGACTATCACCTCTTGTTCAGTCATGATACGTTTGTAATTTCCATATGTATGTTTGTGTTTTTAATTAGTTTTACTTGATCTTTACTTTGGAAATTACACACTTTTGGTGTAATAGTTTAGTTTGTTAAATTCTTGTAAATAGTTTAGATTAGGTATATTCTGAGCTCAAACAGGTCTTGATCACTCAAAGGACAATTGGTGAACCCCAAAAAGTGGAAGGAAGGTGCAAAAATAAAAAAGAAAGAAGGATCCTGAAATTTTGGTCTATACTCGGTCGAGTATCACCTATACTCGATCGGGTATTAGGTTGAAACTTCAAATCGGATCAGATCCAAAGACAAGGGAACATGCCGGGAAGATTTCGGCCATGATTAAATGTCTATACCCGATCGGGTAGACCGACATACCCGATCGGGTATGCCTTTGAGTTTAAACGTAAAATCGGTTGAGTATGGCTCGAATATCACTTTCTACGCATACTCGACCGAGTATAAACATATACCCGATCGGGTATACCTTTGGAAAATAGCCTAAAACCGATCGAGTATACCTCGAATCTGGTATTACACACATACTCGATCGGGTACCATGTATATACCCGATCGAGTATCCGAATCCCATCCCAAAAGCCTATAAATACACCCCCTTTCCTTCACAAATGATCATCCCAATTCCTTTGTAAGCAGATAAAACCAAATTAAGCAGATAAAAGCAAAACCAAGCCACCACATCTCTATAAATTAAACTCATATAAGTCGTTCATCTTAGTGTTAATTAAATTAAATCAAATCAAACTTAAAACCCCCTTGTTACTATTTATATAAAAGAAAAGTATTCCTCTCCTTGTGGATACGAACCTTACTTCGTTATACTACGTATAATCGTTGTATTGTAATTATTTTGAGTGCACCTGACGACAAGGGCACGTCTAGCCACCACCGTCGGACGCCGCCACCGTTGGATGCCGGACGCCACCGCCGCCGGACGCAAGAAGCCACCTCCGGCGTCGCCTAAACCGCCGCCGCTGCCGAGTAAGTCTTCATCTGCTGCTGCCCTCTATCTTCCATCGCCGCCACACATCCTCTCGGATTGCTGCCATATGTTCCGCCGCTACCACCGATTCAACTAGTGTGTCTGCTTCCATGTCTCTCTAGTTAGATGCAGATCTCCTACCAGATACATTATTACCATCTTCATAAAAATAATGAAATATTATTTAATGTCATTTTAAAATCATAATGTCATTTTGTAAAAAAATACATGAAACTAACATTTGTAAAACATGACATTATTTGCTTAACATATCCGTGTAATTGCCATCTTTATGAAATTAATGTCAACTTCATAAATTTAAAATGGCATTATTTGCCAAACATATTGAAAAACACTTCATAAATGAAAAATGACAAAATTTGCCAAACATATTGAAAAACATGGCATTTTTAAAATAATTTTGCCATTTTTGAAATGGCAAAAAAACATAGAAAGATAAAATAAAGAGTCAAAGGAATAAAAGGTAAGAAAAATTGAAAGACCAAATACAGGAAAAGGGAGATTGAAGCTTGAGAAGAAGGGAAAGAAGAAGAAGAGGATGAGGAGGAGGATGAGGAGGAGGAAATCAAACTTACCTGTGTTTGCCCCGTTGTACGCTGATAGCCGGAGTTCGACGGAGAAATTCATTGTCCAAACCTTTGTAATCCACCGACAATCCGATAGAGATGAAGTCTCGAGATGGTTAAATGGATGAGTGAGTGCGAGAGGAGAAACGGGAGGAGATGGGAGAAGGCAGGGGAAAGAAAAGAGAGAAAAAGGTGTGATGGAGACGAAAGATGTCTGACGAAAAGAAAACTAATTGATAAATATAATTAATTTAGGCTACTTGGAAAGAGGGGTATAATTGGAAAAAGGAATGGGCCAGTCAACAATAATCTCCTATATAGGGAATAAATCATTAAGTGCTCTTATTTTGGAACTTCCTTAATGTTTTAGTCCTATTAAGGACAATTTCTTAAAATACTATTAGAGCCCGTTTGGTAATAGCCAAATCGGCTGTATTGGCTGATTCTGCTGGAATTTATGAAGTTCTGGTGGAAGTAGCTGCATTGACTGATTTTACTAACTTATGAAAAATTTATATTTAAAATATATTTTCAATAAAATAAAGAAAAACTTATATGAAAAACAGCTAAAATGATCCTCTATTGTAACTTCACCCAATACATTCAGAAAAGTAACTTAAATCTTACTTTTTTTTTATTATTACAGAATTCCGCGCGTGGAATCAAAAGTTACATGTTTGATGAAAAAATTGACTGATAAGCCGGATAAGCAGAAATTGGTGTTACCAAACGGCCTCTTAATATATTATTAAAGAAAAAATTAAACTTGGGAGGGGTCATGGCCTCCTTAGCCATAGCTATACTTCAGCCCTTGGTTTTATTCCCATAATACGACTCATTCACTCTTATTTTAATCAACTTATTTTTTATCAAAACTAAATAAATTCTATAATTATAATGTGAATGATTATTTCGGTCCATTCAAGGTATTTATCGGATATACAAATGTGTCTTCATACAAACAAGAAGCTTAATCTAAATAGAACTTGAATGAAAAAAAGATATAAATGTACAAGCGTAATATACAAACCTGTACGTTTTTGTCTTGGAAAAGTCAGCGAGAAAAGAAGAAAATGTACGTTTTAAAGAAAGATGGCGTGGAATGTCAAGTCCCGCTTGCATGCCACCAGGCCAGGCATATCATTTCCAATTCTTAGCTTTATGATGAAGTAATGAAATTAATTAACAGTGCCCGCACTCACCTACTAAACATTTTGCTATAAATACTGCTTCCAAACGATGAAAAGGCCAGGCCAGGCCAGGGCATGCAAGTGATTAACAATACATACTCGTATAATATATAATAAAGTTGAGATAGTTAATTCCAGTACGTACTATACGTTACATATATACGTACGTAGAGAGAATACATACAATAATACATATATGGCTCATTATTGGTTGTTGGTTGTGTTAATAATTTGCATGATGAATATTTATGCGGGGAATGGACTGAGTTCCGATTACTATGAGAGCACTTGTCCTGAGGCAGAGGCTGTGGTGACAGAGGTGGTTAAGGCGGCATCACTGGCTGACCAAACTGTTCCTGCGGGATTACTCAGGATGCATTTCCATGATTGTTTCATTAGGGTACGTCCGTACGTACATTTTCACCATTTCTTGTACATGCATCTAAGCTCCGCCCGTTTACCAGTACTAACACTTTTGTTTCAAAATTCAAATTGAAATTCTCATCAGTCATCACTCACCCTAAATAATAACTCATCACATATATATTAATCCAGCTTTCACACACATATATGCCTATATACTCTATATAAAATGCATGCATGTGTTAAATGTGAAACGTGCAAATTTTCACTTTTACCACTACATTTTTAGATTCAAATGCCTACTGAACTTTTTCGCGGCGGATAAATGTTCATTTATTTATTTATGAAAATGTCACTGTAAGTATATATTTTTTACCCAACCTGCAGCTACTCGATCAAAATCCAATGTCTGAAAATCATTTTCATATATATATATATATGCATGCATGCAGGGGTGTGATGGATCAGTGCTACTGGACTCAAAGAAGAACAGTGGGGAGAAGAATGGACCTCCCAATCTCTCTCTCCACTCATTCTTTGTGATTGATGATGCCAAGAAGGCTGTGGAAGCAATTTGTCCTGGTGTTGTCTCCTGTGCTGACATTTTGGCCTTCGCAGCCAGGGATGCAGTTGTTGCTGTGAGTTTTATTTAATTTGTCCATCATATCATTATATATTAGCTAGCTAGTATATGTATATAGTGGCGGCCGTGTTTGTTTGTTCTTTCTGATTAAACCTAATTTCAGGCAGGGGGGCCTTACTGGGATGTCCCAAAAGGAAGAAAAGATGGGCGAGTGTCGAAAGCCAGTGAAACCCTACAATTGCCAGGTCCTGCCTTCAACATATCTCAGCTGTACGTTAGCTTTTCCCAGCGAGGTCTCTCCATGGAAGACTTGGTGGCTCTTTCAGGTGGACACACGATAGGTTTCTCGCACTGTTCATCCTTTGAGAGCAGGCTGCACAACTTCAACGCCACCAACGACGTGGACCCCACGCTGGACCCCACATTTGCAGCCGGGCTGAGAAGGGCCTGCCCACTGGAAAACAAATCTAAAAACGATGGAACTGGAATGGACCTCGATTCCTCCACCTCCTTCGACAATAACTACTTCAAGCTCATTCTCCAGGGCAAAACCTTGTTCTCCTCCGACCAAGCTTTGCTCTCTCATCCCAAGACCCAGGCTTTGGTTTCCAAGTACGCTGACTCCAAACAAGACTTTTTTAAGGCTTTTGCCGATTCCATGATCAAGATGAGCAGCATATCATCAGGTGCCGACGGAGATGTCAGAACTGATTGCAGGGTAGCTAGCTAATAATCGATTGATTAATCACTTATTTTACCACCACACCATCCAAAAGCCAGTACATCTTATATATGTATGTGCTATGATCCATTTGCATGCATGATAGTCCATATATAAATATGGGGTGTCTTTCTTAGCTTTCTTTATACGCAATAACAACTAAGCGCCAAGCAACTTAGGGTTGGCTGCGAGTTTCTTTTATTGTTCCAACACATTTATATAAACACATACTTCCTATTGAATGATTTGAATCGTTAATCTAAATTACTTGTGTTTGTATGTACTTATCCCATTAGCTTTAAAAACTTCCAAGGACTCTTAAATTAGGAAGCAATATATTTTTGGAAAAATTGATCGTAATAATCTCAACTATTGACGATCCGCTTATATTAATCCTAACTATCGATTATCTCAGAATAATCCCAACTTTAGTGACTTTCCACCAATAATGGTCCGATATGACCGACTATAAATAAATTCCTATAGTTTCTAAAGTGAATGAGAAGAGATATAACAAGTAATCCCTATAAATAATTCAACTTTTAATTTTTACGCTTTATTTCTATTTAAAATTCACTTTTTATAGCAGGTCATATCTGGTCATTGACCATTATTGACGGAAGGTCACTAAAGTTGGGATTATTCTGAGATAATCAATAGTTGAGATTATTATAAGCGGTCCGCCAATAGTTGGGATTATTACAATCAATTTTTCCTATATTTTTAAGGTAGATTCTATGGGTACCGGAGTTGTCACCTATTTTTAATAGGTACAAATCCCTCCTCATTACATTCCACCGAGATCAATATATATATATATATATATATATATATATATATATATATATATATATATATATATATATATATATATGTTTTGGTTCAAATAAGAATATGTATATATATATATATATATATATATATATATATATGTTTTGGTTCAAATAAGAACATGATCTTAGGAGAGAAATAAGAATGAATCTGGACCGTTAGATTTGTTTTAAGTGAAACTCGATGTGCATTAGATGAAATTGCAATGTGCATTAGGTGAAATTGATATGTGCAACACAAATGGTACGATACAGTGGCATTATGTGAAGCTGAATTATGCATTAGATGAAATTGAAATTTACACTAAGTGAAACTGAAATGTGCAGAAAAAAAAAGGTACGATGTAATGTTATTTTTGTACCTTTTATTCCGCACATTTCAGTTTCATCTAATGCACACCTGAGTTTAGATTTTTATTCTGCACATTTCAATATCATCTAATGCACATTTCAGTTTCATCAAATGCACAATTCAGTTCCACATAATACAATCCAACGATCCAGATTCATTCTCATTTTTCTCCTGGGAGTCCGTTCTTACCAGAACCGCTCCCTATATATATATATATATATATATATATATATATATATGTGTGTGTGTGTGTGTGTGTGTGTGTGTGTGTGTGTAATTAGCGATCACTAATAAATTGAGCCCTTGGCTCATATCTGCATTAACTAAATATATACAGTAATAATACAATTAGCAAGGCCCACATGTGTCTAATACCCCCCTCAACTTGGAGCGTGGGGATCAAACATGCCCAACTTGCGTAGAAGATGACCAAATTGCCGTTTGCCGTGAGCCTTTGTAAAAGTGTCAGCTAACTGGTCGTTAGTAGAAACATGTTGAGCCGAAACACACCCTCCTGCAGTGCATAACGAACATAGTGACAATTCACTTCAATATGCTTGGTACGTTAATGAAAAACAGGATTATGAGCAATATGAAGTGCAAATCGACTATCACAGTATAGAGTACTAGTAGAAAAATGCCTTACAGTGACACTTTTTAGTGACACTTTTCTCAGTAGTGTCACTGATAAACGACATAGTATTAATAACATATACTACCTCCGTCCCAAAAAACGTTTATCATATTGACTTTTCTCGGTCTATGAAGACAAACTATGGACAATGATTTTAATTATTATATTTGTATATAATTTACAAATTTCATACTTTTATGAAAATATTTTGAATAAAGAACATTTTGATATAACTTTCATTTTCAAAATAATTTCGTATTAAAAAATATATTTGGTCAAAGTTAATTGAGATTAACCTTTTCGAGACGGAAGGACTAAGTGTCATAGTTATGTGACACTAAAACATCAATACATAATATTGACACTATTAAAGAAGTGCTGAATTTTAACCTTTATAATAAATTTATTTTTCATTTCCCTTCAGGCATGTATGGGTCGCGCGCGGATGAGCAATGCCAAGATTAAGGAGAAGACCCTTCAAGCTTCAGCCACTTTAATTCCGCAGTAATAGCCACCATGGAATGATACTCAGCTTCGGTGGAGCAACGAGAGACAATGTGTTGTTTCCTGGTCTTCCAAGAAATAGGGGAGCCGCCAAGGAACACTAGCCAACCAGAGACAGAACGTCTAGTAAGCGGACAACTAGCCCAATCAGAGTCACACCAACGTGTAAGAGTCAAATCACCAGAGGAACACAGAAGGATCCCCTAGCTCGGGGAACCTTTGAGGCAGCGAACAACACGAAGAGCCGCATGCCAGTGTTCCTGCCGCGGGGCCTGCATAAAATGAGATAAAATATGAACTGCATATGCCAAATCCGGGCGAGTAAAACACACATATATAAGACGACCAACAAGTCGTCGATAGGATTCTGGATCGGCCAATAGATCTCCCGTAGCAAGGCCCAAACAATGATTTTGTTCCATGGGGAAAGAAGAGGGTTTAGCTCCAAGAAGCCCTGCTTCAGAGATAATATCCAATATATATTTGCGTTGGCAAAGAAATATGCCATCAACACTCCGTGCAACCTCGATGCAGAGAAAATACTTGAGAATACCTAGATCTTTCATGTGGAAGCAAGTATATATGCGAATAAGATTTAAAGCGAGACAAGGCGGCAGAAATATTGCCCGCAATAATTAAATCATCCACATAAATAAGTACATGCAACTGAACATCACCCTTGCGCAAAGAGAACAAGGAAAAATCAGAATATGACAGGAGAAAGCCATATTGTTTAAGAGAGGCAGCTAGCTTAGCACACCAACACCGCGGCGCCTGACGAAGGCCATATAGAGATTTTCTTAAGCGACATACAAGTCCTGGCCATGGCGGTGAGAAACAAGGTGGGGCCACATGTAGACTTCTTCAGCTAAATCATCATGAAGAAAAGCGTTGTGTACATCCATTTGATGGAGCTCCCAATTTTGGGCAGCATCCACGGCTAAAAGAATGCACACCGTAACCATTTTGGCCACGGGATCAAACATTTTAGTGTTATCAATACCGGCCTCCTAGTGATTTCCAAAAACAACCAGTCGTGCTTTCAGGCGCTCAACTGTGCCATCAGATTTATATTTAATTTTGTAGATCCTTTTACACACGAGAGCCTTTTGGCCGTGAGGTAGTGGTTCCATATCACACGTGTGATTATTTTCAAGAGGCTGAACTTCATTTTGCATGGCGGAGCGCCACCCAGGGTCGGTCATAGCTTCCCTGAACGAACGAGGTTCCTGACATGCAAGAATAGCTCTAAGAAACATGCAGTGACGGGTAGATTACTTATCACAAGGTACATAATGACTAATATGATACCGTTTACCTGAGGAGCTGACGGAGGGTGTCGTTGGAGATGGGATTAAGTTCTGCACATGATAGGCCACATAATCACACAGCAAGACTGACGGTCATTTAGACCGCATACCACGGAAGATCTTAGAGCTGTCAAAAGCAGTATCGGCTGGGGGGTTACCATATCATGAGTCGGTTCAACCATATATTCTAGAGGAACTAGTTCGGCCGTATAAAAAATAATGGGGGCATCAGGCACTGTGTGAGGCGCATGTAAGGAAGCTGATGAGCTTGTAGAAGGATCCAAGAAAGAAAACACATCCTCTTGAAACAACATGTCCCTCGAGACAAAAATATCCCCTCGTAACACAATCAAACATTTTTCACACTTTCTTGCCGGTATGATAACCAATGAAGACACATCGCTGGCTGTGGGGAAGGAATTTATCCCCACCAATCTTTAAATTGTGAGAAAAACCCAAGCACCCAAAAACTCGTAGCTGGTGGAAATATGGTGCCTTCCTAGTAAGAATCTCATATGGTGTTTTGCCCTCCAAAAGTCCCGAGGGTGTACGGTTAAAGAGATGAACCGTCGTGAGCACACATTCACCCCACAAAAAAATCGGAACACTAGCCGGAAACATTTGTGCGCGAGCAACATTCAAAATATGGTGATGCTTACGCTCCACCCTACCATTTTGTTGGGGTGTGTGTAAACACGATGTTTGAAAAACAATTCCAGGTTGCTCAAAATGCGGTAACAGACATTTGTATTTGGTCCCATTATCACTTCGTATAACCTTGACATGAACCTCAAATTGTTTTTCAACCATGGCAATAAAGGAGAGAAAAAATGATACAATTCCTATTTGTCACGAGGCAGATAAACCCACAAGTAGAGGGGTTTTTATAAGGACCCCGCAAATCAAAATGTGTTGGTCCCAGTTATATAAGGTACAGTCTAGAGGAGGGGGGTGAATAGACTATACTGGTTTTTAACTTTTTCACGCTAAGTACAAGACTTAACAGAATAGCATGTTCTGTGGACAGAAGAGACTGGCATCGGATGGTCTTCTTGTAGGTTTTCTGTCCGGTTAGCCTCATAGAGAAGCAAAGGCAGTAGGCCTTCTGTTAACTCAGAAGACTAGTTCTGCTGAACACAGAGACCAAATCTTTTGGAGTTAATCAATTTAAAGTAAATGCAAGTATTGAAAGCAGTAACTAAATGACACCAGTTATTTTTATAGAGGTTCAAGGAACAACGTGTTCCTCTAATCCACTGTTCCACTAAGCTTGTAAAAACGCAGATTCACAGCCTTAGTCCTAGCACTTAAGAAGCTCTCCACGTCTTCTTTAAGTGTAGATGTCTCTTGGGATGCACTTCCTTGCTTCCTTTAAAACTTGTCCTTTCACTGAGTTTCCTTGAAGTATACCCACTTCACTACTCCAGTTACTTGGACGCCCTTCTCGTGAAAGAAGAATACTTGTCAAAAACAGAGGTTTCTCCGACTTGCTTCGTCACAAAGGATGTGTATATGAAGTGCTTGAAGTGTTGAAGAACTGTAGGAACTTTGCTCTGGTTGGAAGAAAGGATATGAAAGTAATATCTT